CCGCCTGAAAGACTCTGTTGCTAGGGCGCCGGGATTCGCTTCGGGGGCTTCCGGAATGGGCGGGGGAGGGGCCCGTGCAGGCAGGGGGCGGAGCGTTGTCTTGGTGAGGAGGGTGGCCAGTCTGTGGCGTAGTTGAAGTAACTGATGGGCTGTGTGCCAACGGGTCCATTGCCGGATGCCCAGGATACGTGCAGATGAACAGGCAGTCCTGGTTTGCCCTGCACTGGGAAGATTCCTAGGCTCCAGGAATGTCAAGGCCAATCAATATTCATTCTGTGACCAACTGCAAAGCTGGTCACCCTAGCAGATGGATGGACAAAACTGCAAGTGAACAGTCGCTGAGATGGATACAGGGATAGCGATACAGAGCGGACAGAAGAACGACTACAGACGACGGAGAAATAAATGGCTATATGATGGCTCAGTGAGTTAAGGGCACTGAGATGACGTAATCCTTGAGACTCATATGGTGGAAGGAGAGAACCAACTCCCGCGGGTTTTCTTTTGATCTCTGCAAAAACATTGCAACAGGCTTATGCTCGCTCCGCCCCCTACACACACACACACACACACACACACACACACACTATAATAATTTTTAAAAATGGTTATTTGACAGGTGAACAAATGAGTGGACAGGTGGACAAAACAAAAGCCATAGGGTGCCTGAAAGAAGAGTGGATTTAAGTCCTCAGCAAACTGGTGGGTCTGAAGACAGGTCTATTACTCTCCAAAGCATACAAGTTACATAAGACTCCTTTGTCCTGGAGCCTGTGTTATTCAGGAGGACGCTGGCCTGAACGAGTAAGTGTGAGGTCAGGAAGTGACAGGTACCACTGACACCCGGACGAACCTCCTACTTGGCCACTAGCCTTTTCCTAAAGGAGGTCAGTGTTGCAACCCTGCATCCTGGGCATTTGCAAAGGTGTAGCTCACACATTTTGAAACTCAAGTGTTTATTGTTAAGTACCTACACTCTGCAGGAAATACAGCAAACAAAAGTGTGTGTGTTTTTTTAACTCCCTGATCTCTTAGAGGTGGACAAGAGAGAGCTACTATCATCATCAGATTCCTCTTGGACTCTCCTTCCTTGTAGAATCTCCTTCCGCGAGGCTTTTGTGGCTCTATGCTCACTAGGCTTCTTCTGATTTTTTATTTTTACACGTTTCCCTCTGTCTAGACCCACTTACCCAGGTTCATGGTTTTGCTTTTAAAATATTAATTGATTTGAGTAGGGATCCCCCTCTGAAGCTCAGGCTGACATCAAAACTAAGCAATCTTCCTGCTCCAACCTTCCACAGACTGGGATTTATAGGCATAAAGCAACAGGCCCAGTTGTCAGGCTCATGATTTCAAATACCAGCTTCATGTTAACCAACCCCAAACGTGTTTGCACAGTTCAGTCTCTCCCTGAGATTCAGCTGTTGATAGACAACCTGCACTCTGGCTTTGTGTGCCCCTTGACTATTTTTCTTGTCTTTGTTATTGTTTTGTTTGTTTTGCCTTTATCTGTTGTGCCAGGAAGTTGTCTGTCTCAAGAATAAGGTCACTGACTTGACCACGACTTCCATATCTAAACCCCTACGTGTCTCTCCAGGTCAGCGTCACAGTTGCCCTCGCTGCCTTCAGTCCACTCTCCACAGATGCTCCAGAGCCAGCTGGATTCTCAGGACTCACCCCCACCTACCTGTGTCTCCATTGCTGGCCTCCAGCTCAGCCTCTGAGCGTTCCTCATGCTTCTGTTCTGCGCAGCCTGGAAGCGCAGGCTGTGGGCTGTGCCCCAGCACTCACACACTCTCTCATTTCAGACGGTGACTCTGTCCCTCTCCCTCCTGCACTGGGCATTGTCTTTATCGTCTGTCCTGCTCTACTTTTCCCCCCATAACAATTATCATCTTACTGAATATGTTTTACTTTTTTTCTTATCCGCAGTCTCACGCATCCCTCGATGGTCTTCTCCTACCTCCTGCTCCCAAGGCTGGCATTACCGGCGTACACTCCCTGGCGTTTTTGTCTGTGTCTTCAGGGCTGCATGTGTCCTAGGTAGGCACTCTGTCACTGGGACTCTATCTAAAGCCCGTGCACCCCTTCTAAAGTAGGTGTTTATTATCCTTACACAGTACTGGGGGGGGTGTCTTTGTTTTCTTTAGAGATGTGTCCTGAGTACCTCAAAGACCAACTAAGTTCCAGAATTACCTGCAAATTGATTTGCCTTAAAGAAGCCACAGAGTATTCAGTGGTAAATGCTATAGAGGGAAAAAAAATGACAGTGAGAAGTTAGAGCAAGGGGAGACCGTAGACGCCATCATGGGACCCATGGCTGTGATGTGCTATCCCAATCTCAAGACTGTTTTTGACAGACTAGGCTGGTCTCCAAGCAAGGCCTTTTCTTCTCTGAGCAGGACCAGAATTGGCTAGTTAAATCTAAAAGTCCTGGTTGCGGTCTCCCTTAGAGCAGTCTCACGTACACACTGTAGGAAATTTCACTCTTTAAAAAAATTTTATTTATGTGCATTGGTGTTTTGCCTGCATGTATGTCTGTATGAGGGTGTCGGGTACTCTAGAACTGTAGTTACAGACAGTTGTGAGCTGCCATGTGGGTGCTGTGCTGTCTGGAAGAGCAGCCAGTGCTCTTAACCGCTAAGTCATCTCTCCAGGCCTGAGAATTCCTCTCTTTAATGAACAGACTCAGACACTCAGAGGTACAACCCCCTGGAGCCCCACACCCACCTTGCTTAGACAGCCATTTCCGAGAAGGAAGAGCTAATCCACAAGGTATAGCATATTCCTCAGCAAAATAATAAGATATCTGCCAAACTACGCAGATACGAGCCCTTCACAGCTGTTTTCCCTGATAAGACCTAAACTACCAGGCACTGCACCATTAGAACGCTGTCCATGCTGAGCTGTTGGCAGAGTGCTTGCCTAGAGTGCCTGGTTCAATCGCCAGCATCTATAACCTGAATGTGGTTCCACATACCTGTAACCCCAGCACTCAAGAAGTAAGGCAGTGGGGTCAGAGGTTGAAGTTCAGGGTCATCCTGCTCTATACAGCAGGTTTGAGGCCTAGGCAACAGGAGGAGTCTTTGCCAAAGAAAGAAGAAAGCCCGCTTGATGGGCTACATGCAAATCCCAACATAAAAACCAGACTTTCCAATGTGTGTGTGCAGAAGTTCTCCATCTGCACCACTGTGCTTGTACAGTAGCAGTGTATCGGAGAAATTTTTATTTCTGTCACTATAGCTGTCTCTTCCTCCTCTTCCTTCCTCTCCTTCCCCCTTCTCCTCCTCCTTCCCGTTCTCTGAAAAGTCAGCAGACTCAGTTTGCCCTCAAATAGCAAGAGCAATTTTGGTCTGAGAGGCTGGTGGCCCCAAACCCTATGGCTTAGTAGTCAAGGCGATAAGAGAATGAGCCAGCCTGAGAATGAGTTTGTATAGTTGAGAGAAGGGAGCAGGATGGACTTATAAAGACAGGCCCAGAAACTACTTTTTTTGTTTGTTTGTTTGTTTGTTTTTGTTTGTTTTGTTTTTCGAGACAGGGTTTCTCTGTGATTTTGGAGCCTGTACTGGAACTAGCTCTTGTAGACCAGGCTGGTCTCGAACTCACAGAGATCTGCCTGCCTCTGCCTCCCAAGTGCTGGGATTAAAGGCGTGTGCCACCACCGCCCAACCAGAAACTACTTTTTGAGTAAACAGTTTTTTGAAACTGCGGGGTGGGAGACAAGCCAGATTGCCTAGAATTGCGGGCTCCATGGTGTGTGATGGCGGTGGCCACTTTAAGGGAACCTAAGAGCAGTGGATTCTTAAAGCCTTGGGCCTGATTTATGGCTCTGTTTTTGTCATTGGTGGTTTTTTTTTTTTTGTAGGGGGGCATCCTTTACTACTTCTTTGTTTGATTTCTGAGTCGGGATCTTATTCTGCAGCTCAGACAACTCACCACACAGCGCAGGCTGACCTCAAACTAGAGTCAATCCTCTGGTCTTAGCCTTCTGATCGCTGGGATCCCAAGCATGAGCCGCTGCAATGATGTTGATCTTCTGCCTCTGGTAAATTCTAAGTTCCTTTACAACCTATACAGCCGCCAGCTGTCAATATCGCTAGCTGTCAATTCTTACCCTAGTGCAGCAAAGACTAGCCCCAGGGTTTGGTCTCAGAAGCCTCCACCCAAATTTAGCTTCTGCCCCTAATACCAGACAGTGGTATCAGCACCTATGACTGATGAGTAGAGGCCCAACAGGCACCAGGTTCAGGTCCTTACAGGCCATTGTTCTACCTTCTCTCAACCAAGCTTCCATTCCAGGGCTCCTACATATGGAGCGGAAAGCTGGACAAGTTAACCCTAGCGTAGTGAATTCATTTTCATTCCTTCTGCCAAGTGCTTACAGTTGGCTGACGAGGACTAGACCCTGGGAACGTGGCAGGAACGGATTTAGCCAGAATTTTATTGAATGATGGGATTTGTGCCCTGTGAGGATGGAGAATGGAAGACAAAGGATGGGAGACAAGGGCTGGATCCAATAGACTGTAAAAGAATAAACCTTAATCCCAAGGCAGGGGAAGGTGACGTCTGAGCTGATGAACCTGAAGGCGTCCTGCTGCACGGGGAATGGCCCAGAGGAACCCATCAGGAGACAGGGCAGGTGATGACCCAGGGGAACCTATCAGGAGTTGTGGCAGGTGCAAAGATGCTGAGGTAAGCGCAAGTTTGGCTGGGTGAAGGAATGTGATCTAATGGAAAAATAGCCCCAAATTTCAGGCAAGGATGCACATCGCTCAAAAGCATTAGGCATCAGAGATCTCAAGGCCAGGCCCAAGCAAACCACAGGAATTCCAGGGGAGAAAAAAAAAGGGCTGTAAAAACAGAGTCAAATTACAAAGGCAAACTTCTGTAGAAGGAAGGGGAAAGGAAAGAGAAACTCTTTAAAATGTTTTAAAATTGATTTTTATTTATGTATGTGTGCCTGCTTGTCAATGTGTACAGCATGTGTATGCAGGTACCCAGGAAGCAAGAAGAGGATCATGGGTGCTGGGAATCCAGGTCTCTGCAAGAGCAGCAAGTCCGCTTATCGGATGAGCCCTCTCTTCAGCCCTCAGTAAAGTTCTCAAACTCCAAGGATAAAGAATAATAAGGTATTAGATTATATGAAACAAGTCACGGTTCAAGGAAGAGGGCCAGGCAACCCTAAACCCTTCTCTATACAACAGGCACAATATGGGTCCATCTACAAGCAACCGAGGGATAGTCGTTCCATCTAGAAGGGGGCAGTAACTCAGTCTGGATAAAAAGAGGGGGAGTCTGGGGTCAGGCCGACAGAACTCATCTGACCTCAGAAGCTGGGCCAGGTCAGCCTGTGTAGTACTTGGATGGAAGGAGAGAAAATTTTAGTACCATGGAGAGGAAGCGCCTCCCCAGCTGAGAGTCAATTAACCACATTTGCCTTTCTCTCCTCTCCCCCTACAAACCTCTAGGAGCCTCACCATAAATCCCTTTTATGGCAAAAGGAACTATCCTAACCTCTTTGTGCCAATTTACCGGCTCCTGGTTTAATCTTTCAGATGGTAATCCTATCCCAGCACGTCCAGGGCCAGCTTACAACCTCAATTACTGGAAAAGGAACTAGAGACGTAGGAAGAGAGAGTCCCTTGGAAACTGTTAATGTTCAAATTCTAAAAACTTCCAAACCATTTATACCGTCACTAATAATATACACTTCCCAAACAGTACCTCCATCCAGGGAACAAGCGTTCAACAACAAGAGCCTATGGGAACACTTTACAGCAGGCACTTCCTGCTGCTCTTGCACACACCTCAGGCCATGGCCATCTCATGACGTAAACTTCACTTGTTCCAATCATTTTGTTTCGTTTTTCAAGACAGGGTTTCTCTGTGTAGTCGTCCTGGCTGTCCTGGAACTCTGTAGACCAGAGATCCACCTGCCTCTGCCTCCCAAGTGCTGGGATTAAAGGCGTGCGCCACCACCACCATTTGTTCTAATTTTGAAAAGTTTCCATTTAAGAAAAAGAGTCCCCAACATTTTTAAAAGCCAAAATTGTTTAAAAATTCCAAACATCATCTGAGACTCAAGACAATCTAGCCGTGATGCTATAATTTAAAAAAACGGTGTGAATGCTCGCGAGATGACTGACGAGGGCATCAGCGTGGAGACTGGGAAAGGGGAATGGAAAGTGGGAGAGAGAAGCACAAAGGCCAGCTTGCCTGCCTCTTCAGAGGAGCTGTGGAAAAGGGGGGTACGGGCGGAGCTTGTCTCTCTCTTTTTTTCCAAGACAGGGTTTCTCTGTGTGGATTTAGAGCCTGTCCTGGAACTCGCTCATGTAGACCAGGCTGACCTCAAACTCACAGAGATCCACCCTGCCTCTGCCTCTTGAGTGCTGGTGTTGGACTCTAGTGTCCAAACACCGAGGAGTCGCCCCCAGAGACCATCTTATATATCATAGCCGATGCAAAAGCATGAGGATTTTACTAATTCTGTCATGACAGGGTCCCCCAGCATTCGGGAAGCCAAGGGACCTCGAATAGCGGGTACAGTCTACTTTTAAAGGGGCCACAGAAGCAAGGGGGGTTGTTCTTTGACTATTTTGATTGGCTTATTTGAAAGGGCTGTTATCAATAATTGACTGGAGAGCTGTTGCCAGATCAGATGAGGTAAGAGGTCATTTTGACCCCATTTCCCAGGGGACCGAACCAAAGCATACGTATATGGGTAATTGTTCAGGAACTGAGTACGTGCGAGTGTAGCTGTTAGGTCCTTGATTCCCAGGGGAGGAGGGGGAAGCACTATGGCACAGAGGCTGAGAGGATTCAGAATTATCAAAAATGGCTTTAGGATTGTCTTAAAGTCTTACACTGGGATTAAAGGAATAAACCACCACTGCCTGACTTGGATCAGTCTCTTAAATCAGAGCATCGGGCAAGTGCACAGAGACGGAGTAGTCAGGACCCTGAGCCGGCCAGAGTACTGCCTGGATACTGGCAAGTGCATGGGCACATCCTGCCAGGTCCCCAAGGACAGGCAGTGCAGATGCCTGAATGCTAACAGTCCTCCCTTTGTTTATTATAAAAAGCGTGAGGAGTTAGAAAGGGGTAGCAGGTGAGGCAGGATGAGGTTGCTGAGTTCTCGAGACTGCTTCCTGCTGACCTGGGGTTTTGCATGTTGGGGACCTGAGAAAGCTGGGGTGCTGACCACATCCTGGGGTGGCTGGTTGTTTCACTGCTGTCCAGGCTCTGTGGAACTGTCCGGTACCTCTTGGACCTGGTAAGATACTGACAGAGCAGAGGATAAAGGTGAGTTTAGGTGTTACAGGGTCCCACAGGCCTCCCTTGGGGAAGGGGACAAGGAGGCACAGTCAACGACGACGCAGACACTAGGAGCAGGTAACAGCAACAAGCCAGATTTATCAAGGAAGGGGCAAACCTTATATCCCCCCCGCCAGGGGAAGGATCTGTTGTCCTGCCATCTGCAGATGTGACTGGGCTGCTTTTCCTTGGCCCACGTCATCTCTCGCCATGGCTCGGTTTTTGTCGTCAGGGCCCTCAGGCAGACGCAGGCTGACTTTCAGGAAGTATTTCCTGCACATGCTCCTAATATCGGTCAGGACCAATTAGATTGGGCTTAGTCATCCCACATGTCCACCCCTTTTATTATTTTTACAGGACGCGCTCAGAGGGAGCTAGGATGCCTTGCCCCGGCTTTGTTGACCCCACCACAGAGGCGCTCAGCGTAAAGAATGGTGCTAGACTGGCCTGTTGAACAGACTCTTCCGCATACTTGACTACTGTCCCTCAAAGCATGTCAGTTCTGGCAAGCAGGCAGGGTGGTGGGTCAGGCAGTAGCCATGCATGCCTTACCTTTCCAGGAGGGCTTCGTTCTGGATAAAGAGCTGTTGGTACCTAGATGGTCACCTTGATAGCCGCTTTTTGTTGATGAATATGCTGTAGGAGACACTTTAACAAGAGAAGAATTAGCAGAACCGCCCTGCCAAGCAGAGCATATGTAAGGATCCAGGAGGGATCAAAAGTCCTTTTAAATTGTTCCAAACCTTAGTCAAACAATCAGATTCCAAGGACGTCCTGGGACTCTAGTTATATTTAAACGATGAATTTGCTCCCAAAGTAATATGGAATAGCTAAGGAGCTTATCCGACTGGGTACCTTAATGTATTGTGTCAGTTGAAGTCTTTCTAAGGAGGTATAGGAACCTTGTAGTGGTTGAAGCAAAACACCTGATATTTAGGGTCACACGCTAGCAGTGACATGTCCCTCGCCAATGTCAGTACCTCAGCCCAGAGGTCAGTTTGTTGTAATATATGTATAGCTGATAAAGGTGTTGACTGGCCGTATGTGTTAGTGATACCACTCCAGCCACAGCCCCTCCCACTCACAGCACAATGGCCATGATGGTAGCTGCCATAATCCCAAATTCTCTGTCCTACTTACCTCCTCTAATTGAGTTTGGGCCATAATGGTAATGACGTGGAAGTGGGTAGCATTGATGGCAGGGACCCAAATGACTGTTGGTTCTCTCATTAGAATGGCTGTGTGTAAATACATCAGCCAGCAGGCTGGCAGGAAGCACGTTTCATGGGTACAATTGAGGGTATCTATGTGTCAGAAGCATTAGTTACCAAAAAGAAGATGGGGGACTGGTGTGGAAGGTCCTTCTATGTGTTGCTTTTATTGGTTAATGAGTAAAGAAACTGCTTTGGCCTATAGCAGGGCAGAACAGAGGTAGGCGGGGAAAACTAAACTGAATGCTGGGAGAAAGAAGGCAGAGTCAGGAGAAGCCATGTAGCCCCACTGGAGACAGATGCAGGAACTTTACCCTGTAAGCCACAGCCTCATGGCGATACACAGATTAATGGAGATGGGTTAATTTAAGATATGAGTTAGCCAGAAATACGTTTAAGCTATTGGCCAAACAGTATTCCAAATAATACAGTTTTTGTGTGATTATTTCAGGAGTCTGGGCAGCCGGGAACAAACAAGCATCCGCCTACAACAGGGGGCTGGACACAGGCCAGGGTGGCCTTCCAGTCAACTTTGTGGCCTTGTGACACAGTTACTGTACATTCTCCTGCCCAATGCTTAGTGTAACTTTTATAGAAGTCATTTCCACTAAAGAGGCTGCCTCCCTTTATGTGTGTCAAAGGGCACACACATATCAAGACAGTTGGAGGGGTCACACAAATCCCAGTTGCCTATAGTGGAGTAGGCCACACCTACATTTTTATGGGGTCTCTACTGACAAATGAGGTTGGATTTTTGTCTAGGGTCATTATTAGCTTCAATGAGGCCAGGTCCCAGAGGGGCAGAGGGGGAAATGGGTGTGGATCTGGGGACTGATGTTTTCTCCTTTTCTCTCTCCTTTTCCCTCTCTATCTTCTTTTCCTTTCCTTTCTTTTCTTTTCTTTTCTTTTCTCTTCTTTTCTTTTCTCTCTCTTCGTCTTCCTCTTCATCATCGAATTTTGAGGAAATATTGGACATGGATGGAATGAAGGTGAAAGGTAAGCTGGCATTACATTGTGGCTGGCAGCGTTGATTGTGGGCTTTGATCACCTCTGCCAAGGAGGATTTCAAACTGATGATTATCGCCAATTGAGATATTAATGAAGGATAATTGAGGGGTCACTCCCGAGGCTACCTCTTTTCCTAGGCAGAAACAAAACCCACATCCAGAGCTCAGTCTTCCACATATTTGCTGGGGAAATCCATGGTGCTAACACCACGGTCTCTGTCCAAAACCTTCTAGGTCTGTAGTTGTGGCCCGAAGTCCTCAGCTGGTTAAAAGCGATTTGAGGGCCCCCATATGAGCCTCCTGACAGTGAGAGGGAAATTACCCATAGTAAAAATGCAACAAATGACAGGCAAGCGACAGGCAGAGTGGAAGGATATGTCAGACCGGAGTGTCTTGTGCTTTGTGGGGAGTCCTAGGGTTTGTTAGGTTATGGCCACATGCTGGTACCAGGACTTATGGGCAGGGCCAAAAGGTGAGTGCCTACACCAGGGGAATGGTCAGAGGCAGGCAGCCCCGCCAGAGACCCAGCTGCCAGTATTGAATGGAAGGCAAAGCCGCCAGTGAACTAGAAAGCAAATTTGCTGCAGGTGGGGGAGAGGGGATCTGTTGCAGGTGGAGCATGTGGGGAGGGACCCGGCATGAAGTGGGTACCTTTGGCAGGCCCTGCCAACGTATGCCACTAAACAAACATGCCACACACAACAGAGTTAGTACAAGAGGAAATGAGATTCAAAGAAAGTAGTAAGAGGCAAGAGAGGAGGCAAAGAGAATGAGTTCTTCCTTTTAAAGGGTGTGCATGTCACATAGCTGATGGCAGAAAAGGACCTGGCGACACGTAACTGCTTTGGCGGCAGAGGCAGGCTGTTGCTGAGGAAGCTGACATTGAGACTCTTTAATGAAAGAAGCAGAGTTATAAAGAATAGAGAGAGGGCTTGGAGTGAAGCTAAGATAAAGGTTGAAAATAGGGCACACCTTCCAATTATTGAACCACTGGCAGAATGTTGCAAAGGTCCTGAAATTATCATAAATTATGCCAGGAAGCAGCCATATGGATTGACATTCAAGAGGTATTGAGGCCAGGTCTGACTGTAAAGGTGGACACAGTTCCTCCCACGAGGGACGCAGAGAAATAAGATCCAAGGGTCTGTGATTCCTAGCGTCCCAGGAATTCAGAGAGGATTGAGTTAAGTAAGCACGGGCTGTCCTGTGCATTGCACCTTCGTGCAAAGAACAGGGACAAAGGACCCTGAGCCCAAGAGAGCTGTGGTTGCCTGGTACCAGGACTCATGGGCAGGGCCCAAAGGCGAGAAATCACGTTTGAGAGAGTAGGCCTCACTCATGGGAAGAGTGGGAAGTGACCAGAGGTGAGAATCAATGATGAGGGTCAACTGTGGTTGGGGGTTCCTCCACTTCAAGGACACCAGAGGGGTGCCAGATGCCCAGCAGTCACTCCCGCGGATCCAGGGGAACATTTGGTAAAATCAAAATATAGATTACATAGTTCCAAAACCCAACAACATGGAGGGAAGCTCTGCACTCCAAAGGGAGGAATGGAGGCATAGCGAGGAATTCTTGAACAAGACTGAAACCCAGCAGCACAAAGACTGGATGCTGAGGCTCAAGTCAGGCATCTGGAGCTCAGGATGGCCCCTCGGCCTTTGGGCCCTAGGCACCCTGCCCCCTCTGCTCTGCTGCCCGGAATACACAACTCCTGCTGGAGTTGGCAAAATTCTGTCTAGGCACATTGTTATAATCCAGCACTCCATGAATCCAACACCAGTCTAGTCTACATGGTGAATTGCAGGCCAGCCGGGGCTACTCTGTCTCATCAAGCAAACAAACAAACAAACAAACAAACAAGCAAGCAAGCAAACAAGGACATTTGGTTGGATTCTTCTTTGACTTGCCCACGCCTGCACTCTCAACTGTGCCTTTCCCTTTCTTGAATAATTTTCTATTTTCAATGAACTTCATACTGGCTTGTCATGAAATTATTTCCTGAGTCAAAACCAAGGGTCTGGTTTTACCTGAGCTGAGTTAGCCAACAGATCAATGGAACTTCTTAAACAACTGCAGGTGACAACACAGGGCTGTGGGAAATATTGAGTTGACCCTATGAAATTGTGAATATTCAACTATTTCGGTCTACCAAAATTGGTAGCTTCACACAAGTAATTGAACAAAAACATAAAACCATGAAGTAAGACATGGCAGAAAGCAAACATGAAGCGAATGGAGGTGGAGAGTGGTCCCAGGAGCGGCTCTCAGCGTCTCCTCTGGGCAGTCTTCACCTTACAGAGCGTTCAGCATCCTGAAGAGGTTGCTGCAATCCTAACCTAGTCCTAATCCCGATGTCTTAAATAAGATGTTTAAAAGTTTCATCTTAAAATTTGATATGTGTGGAATTGTACAATATGCTTCTTTGAAATTATTTTGATATTCTTTTAAATTTTCATATATACATGGGCTGATCTCCAAAATACACAAAGAACTCAAGAAATTGGTCATCAAAAGAACAAATAATCAAAAAACAGGGGGCACTAGAGAGATGGCTCAGCGGTTAAGAGCACTGGCTGCTCTTCCAGAGGTCCTGGGTTCAGTTCCCAGCAACCACATGGTGGTGGCTCACGACCATCTGTAATGAGATCTGGAGCCCTCTTCTGGTGTGCAGGCATACATATATTCAGGCAGAACACCGTATACATGATAGATAAATAAATCTTTTAAAAAAAAGAAAAGAAAAATACTCTTGGTCTTTCCTCACTGTCTTCATTTAAAAAAGAAAAAAGAAAAAAATGGGGTACAGACCTAAACAGAGAACTATCAACAGATGAATCTAAATTGGCTGAAAGATACTTAAGGAAATGCTCAACATCCTTAGACATCAAAGAAATGCAAATCAAAACAACTCTGAGATTCCATCTTACAGCTGTAAGAATGGCCAAGATCAAAAATACTGATGATAACTTATGGTGGAGAGGATGTGGAGTAAAGGGAACACTCCTCCATTGCTGGTGGGAGTGCAAACTGGTACAGCCCCTTTGGATATCAGTATGGCAATTTCTCAGAAAATTAGAAAACAACCTTCTTCAAGACCCAATAATACCACTTTTGGGTATATATCCAAAGGATGCTCAATATTGCCACAAGGACATGTGCTCAACTATGTTCATAGCAGCTTTGTTTGTCATAGCCAGAACCTGAAAACAACCTAAATGCCCCTTGACCGAAGAATGGATAAGAAAAATGTGGTACATTTATATAATGTACTACTCAGCAGAAAAAAAATGACTTCTTAAAAATTGCAGGCAAATGGATGGATCTAGAAAACATCATATTGAGTAAGGTAACCCAGACCCAGAAAGACAAATATCATATGTACTTGTTGGGACCATTTGGAGTCCTGGCCTCCAGCTGCTCTTCCCTGCTAGACTCTTTACTTTCCTTCTGATTTGAGTTACTGAAAGCTGTGTCAAAGTTGTTTACCAGCTCTGCTTCACGAGCACGTGTTGCCTTGGCCTTGAGGATCAGAGAATAAGGTTTTCACCTGTTGGCCCACCTGACTGTTGGATATATAAGCCTCCGTGGTGCTATTTAATAAAGGGCTTCTTACCAGTGACTAGAGGTCTGTATCTCTTTCTCTCTGTGTGTTTCAATCTCCAGCCCCTTGCCCGAAGCTCGCGAACTGCATAGTAGCACATAGAGCGCAGACAGGCATTGTGCACTGCATGTACTCATAAGTGGCTTTTAGACATAAAACAAAGAAAACCAGCCTACAAATCACAATCCCAGAGAACCTAGACAACAGTGAGGACCCTAAAGAGAGACATACATGGATCTAATCTACATGGGAAGTAGAAAAAGACAAGATCTCCTGAGTAAATTGGGAGCATGGCGACCTTGGGAGAGGGTTGAGTGGGAGGGGACAGGCAGGGAGGGGAGCAGAGAAAAATGTAGAGCTCAATAAAAACAATAAAAAAATTAAAAGAAAAAAGGAGTTCTAGACAGTTGTAAACACAGGACCTTGTGCTGAGAACTGCACTAGACTCCTTGCCAAGAGCAGAATGTGCTCTTAGCTGCTGAGCCGTCTCCAGCCCTTAGTTAGCAGTGCTGCCAACATGCAGAGGTGTGTGAGGACTTCCAGAGTGACATGGGTGACATCAGTGGCCATGCCCACAAAGAAATGCGGCTTTCCCTCCTCCACTTTTTTTCTTTTACAAAGAGATGGGAAGTTGCGTTGTCAGGCTGATCCCAAACTCCTGAACTCAAGGGATCCTTCTTTCCTGTCCCCCACGTACCTGGGACCATGGGTGTGTGCTACCAGGCCCAGCACATTCAGCTTAAATTTTACTTACTGTGTGCACATGCATGAACGCACAAGTAGATCAGTGGACAGCTCTCTCCTTCCACCATGCG